CAAGAAGTTAGTAGTTATGGTAGATGCAGCGTGGCTGCAAGAAGTTAGTAGTTATGGTAGATGCAGTGTTGGCTGCAAGAAGTTAGTAGTTATGGTAGATGCAGCGTGGCTGCAAGAAGTTAGTAGTTATGGTAGATGCAGTGTTGGCTGCAAGAAGTTAGTAGTTATGGTAGATGCAGCGTGGCTGCAAGAAGTTAGTAGTTATGGTAGATGCAGCGTGGCTGCAAGAAGTTAGTAGTTATGGTAGATGCAGCGTGGCTGCAAGAAGTTAGTAGTTATGGTAGATGCAGCGTGGCTGCAAGAAGTTAGTAGTTATGGTAGATGCAGCGTGGCTGCAAGAAGTTAGTAGTTATGGTAGATGCAGCGTGGCTGCAAGAAGTTAGTAGTTATGGTAGATGCAGCGTGGCTGCAAGAAGTTAGTAGTTATGGTAGATGCAGTGTTGGCTGCAAGAAGTTAGTAGTTATGGTAGATGCAGCGTGGCTGCAAGAAGTTAGTAGTTATGGTAGATGCAGCGTGGCTGCAAGAAGTTAGTAGTTATGGTAGATGCAGTGTTGGCTGCAAGAAGTTAGTAGTTATGGTAGATGCAGCGTGGCTGCAAACTACCGAGGTTAGCATACTAGTAATATAGTACTGACTTCACAAATTGTCATTCAGTCCGTGAAACAGGTCAGTCTAATGACGTTATGTATCCGAGACTTTTCAGTAATTTGTTGTGAATCTAAAAAGTTTCTTGCCTGAACTTTGCTAAAAGATTATCACAACAGTTTATATATGTCAATAATTCAAATACAGGTTGCAGTAATAGTACACATAGTCTTAATACTGTTATACATAGTTATCAATACCATATATCAGTAATTTATACACAAGTGCTCTGTTATACGTTTTTTGAGTTGAACCAGCTAACTGACAAATACATCTTGTTATGTTTTATGATGCAATTCAAATTTGGTGAATTTGTACACACATCATATTATGACATCAAGAAGGTTACACGTTTGATTCCTCTAGCAACTGTTATCACAGCAGTATCATTCAGAATAAAGTTTGCTTCACTTTCAAATATACATCCCATGATACTAGACGTGTATTGTTGAATTGGAACAATCACATGACATATCTAGAAGATATTAATAATTTAGATTTCGAGTGAATCTTTATGAATCTATTGGGAATTGTACTTACTTCACATGGTGCTGGACACACTCTACCAGTAAATTCTGGAAAGTTGTTAGTTTGTTGTAATCTTTCCAGAGCTTCCTTCCAATTATCCTGAAATACCAAGTCATTCCATTTTGGAATAATATTCCCAAGTGGACATCCATTGGTAGACTGACAAAATGGAACTCCACAATCCATACACCTAAAAATTCATTAAATACACAAAATAAGCAGGTTTGTATTATCACCAGTTAAAAACATAACCACAAAATACACAAAACAGTTACCAGTTACAAACATAACGACAACATACACTGAAAAGTTAGAAACATACCTGGCAGCCTGCATTTTAATATTTGTCTTGACTTCTCCATGGTTGTGTATCTCACTCCAGTCTCCTATTCGAGAATCCACTTTACGATACTGATTATTATTTCTGGGATATTTGATAAATCCTCTGAAAAGAATTAGATACACCTTACTTTAGTGTAGCTAGTATTGGTCAAATAACACTAAACAATGACTTAGACTTTTGGCAACTGGCAATTCTCAATGAATATTTTGATTTAGTGACAGAGTTCAGCAAGAGTGGCCAAAGGCCGATAGATAAATAAATATATAGAAGAATATGGAGAAGTAAATATACCCTATAAAACGGTGAAACAGGTGGCACCCCCCCCCCCCCAGCCACCAAATTATGCTCTTCTTTGGAATGTCAATCAAAGATAAGGCAATCGTTTTCTGGCAGTGAACTGAAAATATTTTTATATGAATAGTTTTCTGGTCATTTTTATCAGCGGTGACACACAAATTGTGCATGGTGCAAGTATGAATTCGCACGTTTCATTGTTCTTTGGTTAGGTCAGTTCTATTTTTAGTAAATCAATAAACTATTTGGCTGTGCTTGCTTGCCAGGCATTGGCTGCAACATATTTTTATATGTCTTTAACCTCTCTGTAAAATTACAACTTTACATAGAATTTATGCAGCCATGTCAAGCATTGTATTCTGAGGGGAGGGTATTACTCACTTCTTTTTATCTAGTATACGATCTAGATTCTTCTGTGATTTTTCAACATCTGGAATACTGTCTTCAATATCAACAATGCTAGGCCCATTGGTCACACTTTTTTCAACTTTAATAACTGAATTCAACTCTGGTACTAACTTTTTATTTAGCTTTTTCAAGGCTGCTCGATATTCATGTGGAAATACCTAATAACACAACATGAAGTAGCATGAAATAACATAATGTAAGACAAGACACTGCATGTCATGTAAACTATTTGCAGTATCCCACGCCATACAGTCCAGCAGTATTCTACATGGTACAATCCAGCAGCATCCAATCCCATACAGTTCAACAGTATTCCACCCCGTACATCCCAGCAGCATTCCACCCCGTACATCCCAGCAGCATTCCACCCCGTACATCCCAGCAGCATTCCACCCCGTACATCCCAGCAGCATTCCACCCCGTAATCCCAGCAGCATTCCACCCCGTACATCCCAGCAGCATTCCACCCCGTACATCCCAGCAGCATTCCATCCCTTACATCCCAGCAGCATCCCATCCCATACAGTCCAGCAGTATTCCACCCCGTACATCCCAGCAGCATTCCATCCCTTACATCCCAGCAGCATCCCATCCCACACAGCCTAGCAGCATCCCATCCCATACAGTCCAGCAGTATTCCACCCCATACAGTCCAGCAGTATTCCACCCCATACAGTCCAGCAGTATTCCACCCCGTACATCCCAGCAGCATTCCATCCCTTACATCCCAGCAGCATCCCATCCCATACAGTCCAGTAGTATCCCATCCCATATAGTCCAGTAGTATCCCATCCCTTACATCCCAGCAGTATCCCATCCCTTACATCCCAGCAGCATTCCATCCCTTACACATCCCAGCAGCATTCCATCCCTTACACATCCCAGCAGCATCCCATCCCTTACACATCCCATCCCATACAGTCCAGTAGTATCCCATCCCTTACATCCCAGCAGCATTCCATCCCTTACACATCCCAGCAGCATCCCATCCCTTACACATCCCATCCCATACAGTCCAGTAGTATCCCATCCCTTACATCCCAGCAGCATCCTATCCCTTACAGCCCAGCAGTATCCCATCCCACACAGTCCAGCAGTATCCCACCCTGTGCAATCCAGCAGTATTCTACCCGGTACAATCCAGTAGTATCTCACTGCATAGTCCAGCAGCATCTCATCCCCTACAGTCCAGTAGTATCCCACCCCATACAATCCAGCAGTATCCCACCCCCATACAATCCAGCAGTATCCCACCCCCATACAATCCAGCAGTATCCCACCCCCTACAATCCAGCAGTATCCCATCCCATACAATCCAGCAGCATCCCACCCCCTACAGTCCAGTAGTATCCCATCCCATAGTCCAGCAGTATCTCACCCCCTACAGTCCAGTAGTATCCCATCCCATACAATCCAGCAGCATCCCACCGCATACAGTCCAGCAGTATACCACCCTTATAGTCCAGTAGTATCCCACCCCATACAATCCAGCAGTATACCACCCCCATACAATCCAGCAGTATCCCACCCCATACAATCCAGCAGCATCCCACCCCCATACAATCCAGCAGTATCCCACCCCATACAATCCAGCAGTATACCACCCCCTACAGTCCAGTAGTATCCCACCCCATACAATCCAGCAGTATCCCACCCCATACAATCCAGCAGTATCCCACCCCCATACAATCCAGCAGCATCCCACCCCCATACAATCCAGCAGTATCCCACCCCATACAATCCAGCAGTATCCCACCCCATACAATCCAGCTGCATCCCACCCCATACAATCCAGCAGTATCCCACCCCCATACAATCCAGCAGTATCCCACCCCCATACAATCCAGCGTCCCACCCCCAT